TTGAAAATGCCAAAATCAGATTCCTCACATACTAAAACATACATTTTGACATACGGGTCAATGGGGTTTGGGAATCAATTCCTTCATAAAAACAGTATATTAATCACTAATACTAAACATACAAATTTTTATCAACCTCATGGCTTCATTATCGATCATAGTTGTAATACCCATTATTAATCAGCATTGTTTGGCGGAGGGTTTGAGACCATTGTCTATAAATTTCAACAAAAAAAGTTTTGTTAATAAATAGTTTAGTTTTTCCGTATTTTTCCGCCTACAGCCTAAACGGTACATTTTCGAAAGTTTGAAAATGCCAAAATCAGATTCCTCACATACTAAAACATACATTTTGACATACGGGTCAATGGGGTTTGGGAATCAATTCCTCAATAAAAACAATGTATTGTCAAAATACTTGCGCTTAACATACTAATTTTTATTGACCTTATGGCTTTATTATCGATCATAGATGTAATAACCATTATGAATCAGCATTATTCGGTGTTGAGTTTGAGACCATTGTCTTTAAATTTCAAGAGAAAAAATTTCGTTTAAAAATAGTTTAGTTTGTCCGCATTTTTCCGTCTACAGCCTAAACGGTACATTTTCGAAAGTTTGAAAATGCCAAAATCAGATTCCTCACATACTAAAACATACATTTTGACATACGGGTCAATGGGGTTTGGGAATCAATTCCTTCATAAAAACAGTATATTAATCACTAATACTAAACATACAAATTTTTATCAACCTCATGGCTTCATTATCGATCATAGTTGTAATACCCATTATTAATCAGCATTGTTTGGCGGAGGGTTTGAGACCATTGTCTATAAATTTCAACAAAAAAAGTTTTGTTAATAAATAGTTTAGTTTGTCCGTATTTTTCCGCCTACAGCCTAAACGGTACATTTTCGAAAGTTTGAAAATGCCAAAATCAGATTCCTCACATACTAAAACATACATTTTGACATACGGGTCAATGGGGTTTGGGAATCAATTCCTCAATAAAAACAGTATATTGGAAAAATGGTCGCGCTCAACATACTTTTTTTATTGACCTTATGGCTACATTATTGATTATAGTTGTAATAACCATTATGAATCAGCATAATATGGTGTAGGGTTTGAGACTATTATATTAAAATTTCAACACAAAGAGATTTGTTAAAATAAATTGTTTAGTTTCTCGGCATTTCTCTGTCTACAGCCTAAATGGTAGTACATTATCGGAAGTTTGAAAATGTCAAAATCGGATTCCTCACATACTAACATATACATTTTTACATGAATATCAATAGGGTTTTGACAATCAGTTCCTTAATAAAAAACATGTATTCTCGGATAATAGTCGCGCTCAACATACTAATTTTTATCAACCTTATGGCTACATTATCGATCATCGTTGTTATAACCTTTATTAATCAGCATTAATATGGTGGAGACATTCCGTCAGTGAATGGAAGACCCACACAAGGGTGAAGAATAGAACTAATTACTAATTACTACTAATAACGTACAATTGAATAAGGATTCGACCAGGAGACGTCTCATTTACATGAACTAGATTTAGCATTGACTTTGGATACAGTAAGTAGACATTCCATTTACATAAAACAGACGTAGCATAGCATTGACTTTTAAAAAATTGATTAATATACTTGCTCCGCTCAATATTGCAAGCATACAACTGCATTGCACATATAGTGGTACAATACCTCGCCAAGTAATCCAATTGTTGATTGAGGATAACAACCTACATGTAAATACGGCATCGTCAGGGTTACAAAAATGAAGATGTCCATGTCACACGCACACAATAAATAGACAAATACGAAAATTAAATACGAAAAGTAAACATTTAATTGACACTGATAGACCTATCACACGCACACGACTCGAACGGTCCCGGCGCAGGTAGTAGACTGCAGTGTCAGACTCCTTCCTCATTGTTGTCCATGTTAGCAGTAGGACAAAGGTCATGTGGCCGGTTATTTAGGTGAATTAGCACATTGAAAATAGAGTGTAACTGGGACTGCAGTTTTTCGTTGAGAATATGTCCACTGGCGGTGTTGTCGTGGTATCATTTGGAAATTTTAAAATTCCTCTAACCTTTCCTGCATTTATGTAGCACCTCAAGACCGTCAGAAATCTCACTCATGTTATGGTTTAGGTCGATTAAATGCTGGGCAAACGCTGAATTTTGTTTGGTAATTAATTGTGGTATGTTAAAAGATTCTTTAAAACACTGTCTAAATCACAATGGTAATAACTACTCATATTCATCAAATTATTAAAACGGAATAAAAGTGATAAAACTGATTAAAACTGTAAAGGCTGGCCAGCACTGTCTTACTGCCACTGACAAAATAAAGCTCACTGTGGTTGGATAAGGTTATCTTTTATTTGATCAATAATATATTCAAACCAAGGGTCACAATGAATAACATACTATAATCAGTTTTACATTAGTTTTTTAGGGACTTGTGTCCCTACAAGCCATTAGTTTTTTTATTAATTTTTTAAATTTTTTATAAGATGTGACACAATTTAAGTTTACATGTTTTTTGTTTTATGGATGCTGTGGCTAAGTTGTTTATGGGTGTAATATTAAACCGGTTAGAATTATGGGTTACAGATAAAAATATTTTGTGTGAGTACCAAGCAGGTTTTCGTAAAGGTTATTCTACAGTAGATAATGTTTTCTCTCTTTCTAATATGATTAATCTAAGGCTCTCAGTCAAAAAAGGCAAATTATACTGTTTTTTTGTAGATTTTTCTGCCGCCTTTGACCGGATTGACAGAAACTCGTTGTTTTATAAACTTTATACAATTGGAATTTCTTCAAAGATAATAAGATTATTAAAAAGTTGCTATAATGGTACGTCAGCAGGTGTATGGTGTAAGGAAGGTGTGTCAGAGTGTTTTGAGACAACAAAAGGCCTGAGGCAAGGATGTTTAGGGAGTCCTTTGTTATTCTCATTGTTTTTAAATGACCTACATGATGTTCTAGGGGGTGGGTGCACCTTTGGAAACTTCAAAGTGAAAGTTCTGTTATACGCGGATGATATTGTTTTGGTGTCACCTTCGGCGGCGGGTTTACAATTAATGATTAATGATCTGCAAAAATATTGTGAGGATTGGAATTTGGTAGTAAATCTTGACAAATCCAAGGTTATGGTGTTTAGGAATGGTGGCGGCTTACGAGCAAACGAGCGGTGGCGTTATAAAGAAAATTTAATAGAGTGTGTAAACAATTACAAGTATCTTGGGGTGGTTTTCTCATCAAAGTTTTCTTTCCAAAAACACTTTGAACAAAAGCTAACGTCCTCAAAAAATGCAGTAAATTCGCTATGGTCAAAGGTTTTTAAAAATAAAGACATTTCAGTATTGTTAAAATTTGAGTGTTTTTACTCTGTAGTAAGATCAATAATGTGTTATGCCGCACAAGTTTGGGGTTTTAAACTGTATAATGAAGTTGAACAACTTTTACGTTTTTTCGTCAAAAAGGTTTTTTGTTTACCTCAATGCACACCTAATTACATTATTTACTTAGAAACAGACCAAGACCCGATTTTCATTCATACGTTGAAACTTCACTTTGAATATGTTTTGAAAGTATTAAATATGCCCGAATCACGTTTACCAAAACTGTTAGCTAATGAAGTTATAAGAAAACAGATATTTTGGTATAGGGAATGGAAGAGTTTAGCAGAAAGTTTATCAGTGCACTTATCAGTAGAACAAAATGATATTAGTGAAACAAGATATCAGTTGGGTCAGCTGTTGTTTGCGGTCCGTGATAACAATCGCCAGCGTGTCCTTCAGACAGCCATGAATGCTCGCTATCATGCTATTTATAAATCACTTAGTTTGGATTTGAAAGATAATGGTTACATTTTTTCAAAGTTGGATTTTAATACAATTAAATGGTTTTTTAAGTGTAGAGGTGAATTATTATATTTAAATTATAAACCATGGATACAAAATCAAAATCAAAACTGTTCGTTATGCAATTTGGGGGAAGTAGAGGATGTTTACCACTTCGTTGCCAAGTGCCCGATACTGCGTCATTTTAGAATTTTTTGGTTTGGTTTAGAGGTTTTGTCCTGGGATACATTCATATCCTTGTTGAACGGTGCTGATTGGGTGCGGCTTGCCCGATTCCTACAGCAAGCTTGGCGGTACAGATGGGAAATTATTCAAGAATTTAATTATTAACCTTTTTTTCAAGCTCTGAGCACTCTCTAGTTTTAAGAAATTTATAAATTACAAATATATGTATAAATGTATAGAATAAAAAAAACATAAACAAATAAATAAATAAATGTTTTTAATAGAAATATGCTTAATGGTACATTAGAAAGGTAATTTGAATGTATAAAAATGTACTGTACTTGTTTTATCTAGCATTTACAATGTGTTTGCCAACCCGGCTGACGGTCTTATAAGACCAAGTTGGAAAAATGCGAGCCTGCTGTGTGAATCATGAACTGGTTATACTATGGAAATGTATTGTAAAACTTGTACTTAGATTATGTAAATAAAGCATTTGTTTCATTCATTCATTCATAATTGTGGTATGTCAAAAGATTCTTTAAAACACTGTCTAAATCACAATGGTAATAACTACTCATATTCATCAAATTATTAAAACGGAATAAAAGTGATAAAACTGATAAAACTGATTAAAACTGTAAAGGCTGGCCAGCACTGTCTTACTGCCACTGACAAAATAAAGCTCACTGTGGTTGGATAAGGTTATCTTTTATTCGATCAATAATATATTCAAACCAAGGGTCACAATGAATAACATACTATAATCAGTTTTACATTAGTTTTTTAGGGACTTGTGTCCCTACAAGCCATTAGTTTTTTTATTAATTTTTTAAATTTTTTATAAGATGTGACACAATTTAAGTTTACATGTTTTTGAATGAACAAGATGAAAGAATATTAGGTATATAAATAAGTTTACAATTTCTTTTTGAATCTTGTTTATGGTATTTACTCTATTTATATTACAATCTCATTTACCATTGATTCTACAGTCATGACGATAGCTTGGGTAATACTCAATGCCATCGTTCAATATTTCTGAGGTTGTTTGACATGTGAATCCTCTTTTACATTTATAGTAGTCTGATTCTTTTGATTTGGAACTTATGGTAACGCAGTGAATGCAAGGTTTATTCATCTTGCCATCATTTCTTTGGTAACCTTCAGTCCTGAATCCCCATTTACATTTGAAAGCCTCACAGAGTGTACCTGAAACATAACAGTTATTTATATAACTCCAACATTTACACTTACAAAATACATATGTGACATTCGCATCTAACAATGGCTAATGAGGAAGTTTGTCAGCCTTCGAGAAATTTTAAACTTTGCAGTAATCTACAGTGACATTGTCCATACTAAACTCAACTAAATATGTGCAAGTGACTAGAATATAAAGCTTAGTTGATCCAAAAATTTAATGATAGAGGAACAGGTTAGAAAGTATAGTTAAGTCGAACTTGCATCATCGCGACTAAGAAGATTCTGAGATCGATAATTCTCAATATCAAGTTAGAGGAGATTATGATGATGTCTCCTCAATGCTTGCGGAATTTCACCTCCCTTGAGTTTTAAGTTACTCTTTATGAAACACCATTGAATATGGCAAAATTTATATGACTTAGCAAGATTGCGTATCTGAGCGCTCCCAAGTTTGCTCGTGGGAAATGATAACCCTCTTGACATGTGAGTCTAATGAAAAAGACAATGTGTGATAAAATTGGATCAGCAATAAAAGCCAGAATAATTGCCCTTCCTATATGACCAAGGTTGCGTGAACTGTAGATGTACACCCCAGAATTTTACTTTTGGAATTTTTCCCCACCCAAAGTAAAATTATACGAGTAGGCCCTACCTAAGTCAGAATATAACGCCCTGACGTGATATAGAATTCGATGAGAATCATTATTTTTGTACGTATAGTAATGGGTTTCTTTCAGAGAGAGATCCTTAAACAGTTAACTAACATTTACAGATTTTTATATTAATGTAAAATCCTTATCTTTTTGATCAGATTTAAACAATTCCCGTCATAATTTTGTGTTTTATAACCACTATAAACCGCTGAAGCAGTGCCTTCGCTACGGGTCAAAATGAACTTTGGTATTGATCTCCCATCGAACATCAGTTATTAAGAATTAAATCCATGACCAAAGTAAACTAAGTGAGAATTTAATTTATAACATTAATTAATTGACCTTCTGCCTTTAGTATCAAACCACTGCCTCTGGAACAACCTATACAGGGTGTATACAAACTCCCTTAAGTGGTTTTCATATTGTTTTCTGTCTGACAGTCTGTATGTTATTTTCACAAATATATCCATACCTTGCGATTTTCTTCAAACATAGTGCACAGATATGGATAGGCAAAGATAGGACCAAATTGTTATTAAGTATTAGATATATACATTATATAAATTACAATAGTGGCAATTCTCTAAAATAATTTTATGCCCCTATATTATTTTATGCTTTCTAGTGGCATATTCTCTCTTAAATATCTTTAAAATAAATAATTACCACCAGCGTTGCTATGCTATTGCATGGCAACACTGGTGGCGCTGCCTATGGATTGACAGGCAAAGCTCTCTCAAACCGCTTAATGCTTTTTACCATGCGGTTGGCATTCTGGGTTATAGTAGTACGTTTTCTGTGATGATACGCATGAGTTATGCCGGAACGTGGAACGTGTTATCAGTAAATGGTGTTATCCAGGACATCCAGCATATCGCACCTTCTCTAAATGCGTTTCGCACAACGAGTGTTACGAGCAGCACAACCCTACGAGAGTAGTGGTTAAAATCCTCAGCTCTCATCACGGCTTGCTTCACCTCCTCAACAGCGTCAACCGTAGATCACCCCATCCTGACTCCATACTGACGAGAGGACGGCTGAATTCAGTCGGGAACAAATCAACTTCTCGTGGACTTTGCCGGCCGTATCCAACATACACAGAGGTCTGTAAGAGGATGGCAGGTCTGGATCTCCCTTCTCCTTTCCAACAAGCACAAGCCTAGCTGATTTCCAGCAGGAGGGAAAACTCCTTTGGCTAGACAGGCATTGTACATGCGCAAAAGGATCAAGGGGTTAGTGGTCAAAACCTTCTTGAAGACTTCGCTGGGTACCTCATCAGGTCCATGAGCCTTATTGTTCTTCAGAAATAGGACGGCCACCTCCATCTCTCCAAGACTGAAAAATGGTACGCCACCCACTCTTCCAAAATCCCACAGTGGGTGCAATGTATGAGCTGGGAAAAGGGACTCGACTATCCTCTCCATAGTGGCCCCATCCATGATGGAAGGTGGAGAGCGGGTGCTAAGTTTCTTGGTTACAAGTTTTTATTCCAGGCCCCACGGATTGGAATCGACATCGTCCCTTAATGTCTCCCAGCAACTGAGAAGACACTATCTAGCCACTCACATCCGACGTCTGTCTACAGGTTCTCTGGCCCTTGTAGCAAGTCTTCTGGCTCTCAATGCTGCCCGGTGCAGTTCCGCAATCTCGGCAGTCCACCAGTAGACTGGTCGCTTATGGCACCGAGATCTCCTGCGAGGCATAGGCTCATCGCAAGCCAAGATGATCAGTCCCATCATGAATGTAACTAACGCCTCTGCGCCAGCCACGCCAGTTGCAGGAGGAACCACCGGCGTTCATCGTAAGATGGCTTCATTGAATTTTACCCCATCCCATTTTTTTATATTCCATCCAACGGGCACTTGATGAAACGTAGCTACTTGTCTCTGATGATCATCCAGGACATTAAAAATTATGTACTGGTGGTCACTGGCCATGTAAACCTCCAGGACTCTTCTGGCTCTGATCCTTGGCAAAAGAGATTCAAATGCAAAGGTTATGTCTGGGATCGTTCCCCGCATCCCAGGGCACCGGAAAGTTGGCGTGTTTCCCCCATTGACGACAACGAGTCTAGCTCTGGCAGCGAAGTCCAGAATATACTTGCCCCGGGAATTGGTGAGGGTCATTCCCCATTCGACAGCCCTTGCATTAAAATCCCCACCAACGACGACGTGTCCTGTGGTATCGCGCACGCTCTCTTCCAGGTGGTGTATCTTCTCGCGAAAGTCACGGATGGCCTCGTTGGGAGTGAGGTAGACATTGAAGTAAGTGACATCTCGGCACCGGACCCAAATGAAACCACCGCCCTTCGCGTGACCACTCACTTGTACTTTAGCTGCATTTCGTGCCCAAAATGCAGTAGTACTATGACTATCGGGGAACCAAAAAGATGGATCCCTATCTCGGTACTGGTACTGTTTGCTGACCAAGAGCGCATCGACATCGTGTTCGAGGTCAAGCTGACAGAGAAGTGCGTCGCTCAAGATTGCACTGAAGTACTCTTATCTTTGTATGAGGGCTTTCGCTTGCTGTAGTGCAGATTTAAATACAGTACACTGCCCAGACCCAGCTATATGCTTTAAGTGTTTGTCAGCGATCCCATTTCCTTTGCAAAGGAAGCAGGACTCGACTTGACAGTCCTTACGGGTGTGACCCACCTTCTGGCACCGAAGGCAGTTCTTGTCAGTCCCATTGCAGTTTCGGGAGGAATTGCCGAAAGAGAGGCATTTAAAACACCTAACTTCCACCCTCCATCTGAGCCTGCAGTAGACTGACTCTCAGATGCTCAGGTGCCAGAACCTCATTGGCATGTGCGTCTGCAATTTTGGCGACCGCCATCCGCTGCTAACTCCTATTCGGTTTTGTGAGGCACACTTTAAGAAAAGCCGCTTGCCCGCCAAGCTCGGGGATAGCTTTTTTCAGTGCCTCAACAATATCAACCTCCGTCGACACACAATCAATGTCTCGTACCTCGACTCATGTCTTTGGCTCAAGAGCACGGACGGTGCCCTGGCCTTCAACAGCTGCCTTCAGTTCGGCAGTAAAGGCGGGTTTGTTTTTCGACCTACCAAGTTCATGGAGATGTCCCCGTCACGGGTTCGTCTAATCGACCGTACAGCCGTATCGGCCTGCTCTGGATTAGCCTTGGCCTTAATTGCACATAAGACCTCGGTGAAAGATCTCCCCCCTGAGGTTTTGACCAGGATTGCCTCAGTTGTAGGTTTTTTGGCCGTGACTTTTTCGGAGCAGAGACCGAGCTGGGACGAGTTTGGGCCCCGACGGTTGGGCCTTCACTGCCAAATTCTTCATAGAGGCGACCTCCACCCGCCTCAATTGCCTCTTCTCCTTTCGGGAACGGCGTTTTTCCCACGCAGCCCCAGGTGTCTCTACAACTGACCCCTTTCGGCAACTTCCCCAAAGGAGGTCGTAGGTATCTGTTGCTGTCGGTGGTTCACTGGAGCTGCAGCTACGTCGGAAAAGGATCTGGACATAGCAGACGATAGGTCCGTCTGAGTTGCCTTGGCCTTAACCATGGTCCTTTTCCTTTTGGTCTGGACGCCTTCTTCTCTTTTTTGATGACTCTCCGATGTGGAAGGCCTCCAAAGTTTCTTAGAAGGCAGCGCTCTTTCATCGGGCAGGGACACCACCTTCAAGGCAATCTTTTCCATGGCCGCCATACTCACCAGCCAGCAGGTAAAAACGAAGCCAAGGGCATCCTCTCGTTTGGCCATACCATTTTTGACCACTTGATTTACGGCTTCCTGGGTCTGGAAGGTGTAAAGCATAGCCTTAATCGTCCCCTCTATGTCTCGGAGCCGGTCTTCGATGCTACTCTTTGCGTCAAGATATTCCTGACGCAGAAGCACCATCTCAGAGCCTTCCAACCGCAACGTTGCTGTGAAAGACTCCTCCGGCATCCCTACAGCAGAACTGATTGGCAGGGGAGTTGCTGCAACGCCAGTTCAACGCCTGCATCCCCAACGTTGTCTGCGCCGTTCCCAGCTCCACTTGCCAAAAGCGATCCTAAATGGGGGAACTCCTTAGTGCATTTGAAAGGTGCAGGTGGTGGATATTTCCTCACGTCTTTTGGTGGTGGCGACCTCTAAACCTTGGAGCTACGAACAAAAGGGTTCCACTCTACATCCAACTTCTTTTCTTGCTCATTTGAGCTCTTAATCAAAAGTGTGTTATTGGGGGTTTTATTAAAAGCCATCGTGTGTATTCTAATTGTAATCGAATATATTAATCACAATGGTACTAAAATTAAATAATCCAATATATGAAACAGTAGCACAATTGAGGAAATGGTAATGGAAATGAATACAAACACAGCATGTATACTATTTTTTTTAATCTAGTGGTGTCTGTCTGTATGTTTGTTACTAATAGGCGCATAAACTTTAAAAGTTCTCAGGTGAGGTTTATAAAAGTAAATATTAATTAGTATCCATGGCTGCCATGAGTACACATAAAATGTTTGCAATTTGCTATGCCACCCAATAATGTAAACTAGCTAAACTGTCAAACCACATTAATTCACAATTCCAAGCTGGTTTATAAATAGGCCTATTATATTCTCTACATTCATATGACATGTTTATTTATTCTTATATTTGATGGTATATTAATTATTGATTTTATGAAATAAGCGAGATTGTATACGCACACAGGTAGCCAGCCTGTAGTGTGAGACTCCTGAAAATTATCAGACTACTCACTAAAAAAAACCCCTCTACTCTGTTGGACACAGACCTGGAATTGTTTGTCACATTACTTCAAGTCAGGCCAACATGTGACATAAGCCCTCAGGGCTCGCACCGTTTCTGGCATTTAGATTCTTAATGACCTACACCGCATCCCGGTCAAGGTCGATCTTCTTGGCGCGGAGAATACCCTGGATATAATGTGACACACAGGTCCAATTGTCCTATTGTCCTCACCCTCCGTCATAATCGGTATGACCGTGTCCACCGACAGCAGTCCTACTAACTGTTGAGCCTCCAGGCGGGGACTTTCCCAGCGCTGGCAGTGTAAAAATGTATGTTCCACGTCATCGAGAATGCCTGGGCAGTATATGCAGTCGGGTGACACGGCTTTGCCCATCCTGAACAGGTACGACCGGAAAAAGCCGTGTCCCGTCAGAAATTGGGTGAGGTAGAAGTCCACCTCTCCGTGCCACCGATCCACCCAAAGTTGGACTTGCTGTATCAGTCGCCTGGTCCAGAGTCTCCGTGTCTCCTGTTCCAAGCCCTCCTGCCACAGCTGGTAGGTGCGGGTGCGTTCCTCTGTTCGTGCCTCGTCCTCCCCACGTCGCCGGTAAATTGCCTTTCTCTCCGCCGCCAAAAGTTTGACGGGGATGACTCCAGCAATCACCAGAACGGCGGGCTCGGACACTGTTCGGTCCGAAAATTTCGCTAATGTGAATAATTGTATTGAAAGATTTTGGTGTAAAAAACAGTGAAATTATAAAGTTTACATTACTTGAATCATTTCAAAATTTGTGAACAATTGACATGTGTGTAGAGTAGGGCACACACCTTAAACATTGAAACTTTTTCTCAAGGAGATAATTAATTGTATATTTTAGCCATTTTTAGAGAAATATTGTTCACACCATTTGACTTTACACAAATTTTAAAATCATAATTTCATATTACTACCCATAGTTTTATTTATGATGTTTTCTAAACCAGAGGTAGCTACTATACCTATCTGTATTATAACTTTTGACACTTCCTGTAGATTTCACATTCTATTCTAATAATGAATAACTTTTTACGAGGGTCTGATCATTACATGTATATTTTCAACGAAGTTCCTCTTAACTTAACCTACCCTCGACATGAACATTGTTCGAATGACGTTAGATTTCCTAATTCTAAGCTAATATACAAATATTTCAATTTAAAAACAACAATAAAAATAAGTTGTATATGTACTAGCCTTTGGTGCATGAATAGTAGGAGCTATAAATAGTAGGGCTAAGTATATTTCTGTTTGTTTTAGTAGTAAGAGTGTTAATGTTTTTGTTTTTTCACATAGTATATAATGAGCTATTTTTATAATCAATGCTAAGTGAGCAATGCTTTTTAAAAGCAAGATCACATGTTTATTTTAATTCAAACCGTAATATTAACCAGATGTTGTAAATTATTGTTTGTCTGTGTTTGATTTTATCATTTAAAATACCCCCACCGCAGCAAACTTGCAGTCTAAGCGAATTTCCATTTGCCTGATTGGATTTACACTAAAATGTCTCCTTAAAAATATCACATTTATTCCCTATTTAAATAGAATCAGTTTAACACATACTTAGGTTTGCTGCAACAGGAAGGGTAAAAGTGTTTTTTTATGTAAAATGTTAATAGTTAGTAAGAAATAAAAACATTTTCCAAATTTGGGCTAAAAATGTTAATAAACAAGCAAACTACAACAGTTTACTTATTCTCCATAAGAATAACATGGAAATTTTAAACTTACAATTTTTTGAAATTTTCTCCGTAACCATTAGGTGCATTATAACGCTTCAATATACTAAATTATTTGTTTTTTTAACCTCTACAAAATAGTTTGGAAAGAAATTGTAAAATTTTATGTTTTTTGAGTCAAAAGTGGGAAAACCCCATTTTTACCCCATCAAACCCCCCATAAACCCCTGTTCCCATGGTCCGATCATGCTGGTTCGCGAACTCGTTCGAATAAACATAGGTTTACACGTTTGTACCAAATTTCATCAAAATCGGATCGTTTTTGCTCGAGTTATCGCGCTAACGGACACATATATAAATATATATATATATATATATATATATATGAATTTGAACAGATGGTGTTTTTGGCCTCTAGGGACCTCAAAACGAAAAAAAAATCGGTCCCGGGTCCAGGTCTTACCATGAGTACTACGGTAATAGCTTATTCCCTATATGGGAAATTCGCTAAAAGTAACTTAAAGTTTTGGAGTTTTTTATTTGTTTTCTTTTTTGAAAATGTTTCTTATGTAATTAGTAAAAGTTTTTGATAGGTACATTTATTGGAATTGAATCTTATTTTACACTGTTTTTTATTTCATATTTCAAAAAGCACTATTAAACACACATCTACCCCTGAGGCCCGGACGAAGGACGAGTACTCTGCTAGTATAGTATATAAATGAATTAATTAAGGCAAAATTATATAAAAGGTTAGAAATTTCTTTTATCATATGTAATTTATTTATTTACATATTTTGGCTAGTCAGTAAATATCTTAATAAAAAAATTTTACTTTGGTACTAAATTATATATGATAAATTGCAGTCATTTTTTAATGTTACTTAGCACGATAACTCGAGCAAAAAAAAATCCAATTTTGATGAATTTGGTATAAATGTGTAAATCTACATTTACTCGAACGAGTTCGTTAACCAGCATGAGCTTTCTAAACCATTTTGTAGAGCAGAAAAACAAATACTTTCGTATAATGAAGCGTCGTTTTATACCTAACCGTTACAGAAAAAATTTCAAAATTTAAAAAAAAATGTAAATTTAAAATTGTCAAGTTATTCTTATGGAGAAAAAAAAACTGTTTTAGCTTGTTTGACTGTAGACATATTTTGATGAAATTTGGAAAATCTGTTTACTTCATACTAAGCTATCAATATTTCAATAAAAACATACCTTATTATCTTTCCTGTAGCAGCAAATCCTAAGTACTCATTAAAATGTATTCCAAAGCTGATTTATAAATAGGCCTATTCTCCTTATTCATATGACATGTTTATTTATTCTTATATTTGATGGTTCATTGATTATTGATTTTATGAAATAAGTGAGATTGTATATCTGTTGCTGTATCTAACCCTAATTAATTATTTAAAATTTTGCTAATGTGAATAATTGTATTGAAAGATTTTGGTGTAAAAAAAGTGAAATTATAAAGTTTACATTTACTTGAATCATTTCAAAATGTTTGAACAATTAACATGTGTTTAGAGTAGGGTACACACCTTTTAATAATTTTATTATTTTAATGAAATTTGGAAAATCTGTTTACTTCATATTAAGCTATCAAAATTTCAATAAATACCTTATTATCTTTCCTGTAGCAGCAATCCTAAGTACTCATTAAAATTTATGATATTTATATAGGAAATAAAATCTGTCATTTTTTTAGGGAATAATTTGGTGGAATTCCAGACAGGTAAATAGAAATTCGCCTAGTCTGCAGGTTTAAAGTGGTGATGGTAAGTATTTTGTACGGATAAGCATTATTTAACATTACCAATCACCTAATATTAATCCAAATTTGTTAAGCTACTGGTGTAATCATTAATAAAAGATACATTGTAAAACACTTACACATTAGAAGCAGGAGAATCAAGTTGATCAAGTACATGATGCTTCATGTAGAGATACTTTGGAACTGTATAATGATGGTTGCAAGAGTACAGGTTCTGTCAACAGAAAACTACTCTAATTAGATGGTGAACTAATTTATGTAACTTGTCATTGTAAAATGATGATAGATACTTTCTAATTGCCGTAATTAATCTTGAACATGAAAACTGTAACACACTACAGTTTTCATGTTCAAGATTTATTCATTTATTCATGTAAATTGTCACAAATTACACCATATACAGAGGAGTTTCCTCAATGGTAGATGACATGTCAAAAATATGATACAAAAATGTTAAAAACTAAATTAAAATGTAACATTAAACATAATGAGAAAACAAACTCTCCACATGAACCATTTACAAACCACTATTACAATATAAAATGAAATCCTCTACTGAATAAAACATATGGCTCTTTAGATAGTTAACAAGTTTTCTTTTAAATGCTTTAGCAGAAGATTCATTGCGAATATGAGAAGGTAGTTTATTAAATAATCGGCTGCCTGTATAGAATGGTGTCTTTTCAAAAGCTGCTGTTCGATGCATCGGCAAAGAAAGATTACAATTACGTGTAGGATAGTTATGTGTAGATTTTAAAAGAGTGAATTTGTGAAAATTTTCTTATAAGAAGATTATAAGAAATTACAGAAAACAATAATCAGATCACATCTATTATTAGTGAATTTCGCCATAGGGAAGTAGCTATTACCGTAGGTGGCACGGTTGTAATGTGTGTTTTACAATTTTTTTTACAAAATTAAATCATTTGATTCCATCTTTATTTCAACTTAAGGGTCCGCAGGACAGCTAGTCGGAAATCTCAGCACGATGTAGCTAACGGCCGCTTGGAGCGCTGCACAATGGAGGGGAGCAGAAGAGGGGCCGAGTGAGTGGGAGAGGGGATGAGAAAGCGGCGCGGCGGCGGCGCCCAGCAGGAGGAGAGGAACCGCTTACCCACGCGCACTGGCATACTCACTGTTTTATCACCCCACTAGTGCAACTTTCACTCCACAAAACACCGCGAGCCAAGGCGCGGTAAATGAGCGCCGGGAATGCTTCAAAACTCACCACTCGTGCTTATCCATATACTAAATAAATATTTAAAGTAGGCTACAGTACTGGGTTTTGTCAGTAAATGCATTTTGGCTGTAAACAGATTACTGTACCATAAGTAAACCCAGTTATGGTAGGTATAATATTTTGAAATATAAAAACAACAGTTGAAATAAAAAAAAATTATTTCAATTATTTATAATTTACCTTTATTTACAAATTATTAAATAATTACAATAATGTATCAGTTTTATTCAACAAAACTTTTCAAAACCTATCCCTTATTGGGAGTCCCCTAGGGTGTCTTGGGTCGATCAGCTCTGGCAATACACATTTGAAATAAAAATTAGTCATGGTTTTTTCCATTTGGTTTTCCCAAAACTGGTCGTCCCAGTAGTAGTAAACCTATCCTAAACCTTCCTGCTATCTAAGCGAATTTCCATTTGCCTGATTTGATTTACAATTCATTCTAAATAGTATAAGTCTAATGATAACAAATAGCAGTTACAATTCCTTCAGTCCAGGCAATTGTTCATTGGGGTGTTTAATATGAAATATTGTTGCATGATGTTTATATTTCAAACTGAAGAAAGATTTTTAAAGAAGACAGTACATCAATGTCTTTATTTATACTTAAACATTCGTCAACTTCGATGATGCAGAAGGTTCTGTGACAACATCCAATGTGATAGACGTGTTACCTCTTACACTTTGTGGAATAGTCGAAGGCTCACTGGCGTTCACGTCATTTTCAATTCCACTGCAAAATTAATTAAACATATTTGATTTAGAATCAACTATTATAATTATTGAGAATATGATAATATCTGCAATAGTAAAACACAGTACTAGATTTTCAAACAATACAACAAGGTTTCATTTATATGACGTATAAAATAGCTCAATGTAAATAGCTAGCTATTCCATTACCATAGGCCTATTAATTGTTTAAATGTTACAAATCCCTATTTATGCAAGTTAAAAATTAACAAAAAAATAATGCTTACTTATCACAATTTTCTGGCGCCTTTCTTTATTGCCCAATTTCCAAGGCTCCATGGCAAAGAATAGCAGTTGATTACTTTGACTTTGTGAAAGGCAAATACCTGGCTGTTGTAGACTATTATTCACGGTACTTGGAAATGATAAATGTGTCCACAATGACTGTAGATGAACTAATCAAGAAGATGAAAGCCAGTTTTGCTCGACATGGGATCCCTGAAATCGTAATTTCTGATTCTGGCTCACAGTTTACAAGCTCAGAATGGAGAGCCTTTGCAGCCGATTTTGGGTTTAAAACTATTTGTTGTAGTCCCTTACACCATCAGGCAAACGGTGAAGCTGAAAGAACAGTCCAAACGCTTAAAAAGATGCTTACAAAGAACAAAGACCCCACTCTAGCATTACTGGAGTACAGGTCAACACCAGGTCCATCAGGGTACAGCCCTTCGGAATTGTTGATGGGAAGAAGACTAAGAACCCGACTACCGTCATTGACAAAAGATCTCAAGCCTAAAATGGTAGATCACAAGACATTTAGAGAATTGGACAAACTATATAGAGCAACTCAAGAAGATTACTTCAATAAACGGCATGGAGTGAGAGATGAAAAGCAATTCACTATTGGATGCAACGTGTATATTCCTGATAGGAGAGAAGATGGGAAGATAGTTAATAAAGTAACTCCAAGATCATACACAGTTAAGACAAACGAAGGCATGTTACGTCGCAACGGGGTAATGCTAAGACAACTACAACCCAAAACATCTGATGACCCTGGAACTGAGCCTAATTGTTTTTCCTCATTTGGTAGACAAATAAATCCATCAAGAAGAACATGTCTTTAAAATACCCCCGCCGCAGCAAACCTGCAGACTAAGCGAATTTCCATATGTCTGACTGGATTTACACTAAAATGTCTACTTAAATAATTTACAAATAAAAAACTTTTTTAAACAAAACGTTTTTAAACGCCCTAAAAAGTAGAAAATAATTTACAAACAATTTATAAATATGTTGAGAGAGTATAAATACTTGTACGACTTAAAACGAAAAACGTGGGGTGCATGCAATAGATAGTTTACAATTACCTTCACCTACTGAACTAATGTATTATTATCAATTAATTGCATGCACCCAACGTTTTTCGTTTTAAATCGTACAAGTATTTATACTCTCTCAACATATTTATAAATTGTTTGTAAATTATTTTCTACTTTTTAGGGCGTTTAAAAACGTTTTGTTTAAAAAAGTTTTTTATTTGTAAATTATTTTATACTTTTTAGTTTTAATGTGTGTGCATGTTAAATCTATTTCAAGCATCTATATCAGATTAAGACAGAGGCATGTGGGAAATCTAAGGTTTATTTGAGTTTTTTTGCATATAATTATGTATTAGATTGCATGTATGGCCTACTAACTATAAATATATCAATCTATTTAATCGCAATGTTTCTCAAATATAGTACAAAGATATGTTATTCATAAATATATTTGATAAAATTGGTACTTGAAATGAAAGCTATATCGTTTGCCGATTTACAAACTTCCGATTCCTATTTAAGCTTATAACTAGTCTTTTTTTCTTTTCCTTCTCTAGCCGTCGTTTTCGTTGGGTGACTGTCTCCTTGACCATAATATCATGCAATATTCACAAATAATTGATATTATTACATGTTTACAGATCGCTAATCCGAAAACTCACAATATATAATAATTTACCTAGGTATAGTTTGTTATGGAATTTCTCTGCAATGCATTCACTCGAAATATTTATCGTTTACTTTATAGAATACTAAATAAACAAAAATTGACATTATTTACAAACACCTTGATACCTGCAATCAGATTGTTTATCTTTATTTTGAAATGTTTGTTTGTAAAAAGAATCTCTTGGGAGCATAACCTGTACCTCTTAACCTCTGCTCTTCGAACTGTCAAATTTAAGTATTTACAGCTGACTTAAATTAATTAATGTGTTTACATTTTTACAAAATGTAAACATGGAAAATTTGGAAGCCAGTGGGGCGTAGCCCAAGGGAAATATGAAAATTGAATGATATAATATTGCATTGTCATGCATTTCTGAGTTATGTTTCAAATTTCAAGTCTCTAGCTTATCGGGAACATCGTTTAAAATTGATATCAAAATTTGTAGGAAAGCAAGCTAGTAAAAACAAGCCCATAGGGCGTAGCCCGAAAGGAAATATGAAAACTAAATGATATAATATTGCAATGTCATCCATTTGTGAGCTATGTTTCAAATTTCGAGTCTCTAGCTCATCGGGAAGTATCAAAATTTGCAAGAAATCGATTTAATAAAAACAAGCCCATGGGGCGAAGCCCAAGGGAAATATGAAAATTAAATTTTATAATATTGCATTGTCTTCCATTTGTGAGATATGTTTCAAGTTTCAAGTCCCTAGCTCATCGGGAAGTTAGTATAAAATCGGTTGCAAAATTTGTAGCGGACAAGAAAGTGACCTAATAAAAACGTTTTAAAATTTTTTCAAACGTTTTCATTAGGTCGCTTTCTTGTCCGCTACAAATTTTGCAACCGATTTTATACTAACTTCCCGATGAGCTAGGGACTTGAAACTTGAAACATATCTCACAAATGGAAGACAATGCAATATTATACAATTTAATTTTTATATTTCCCTTGGGCTACGCCCCATGGGCTTGTTTTTATTAAATCGATTTCTTGCAAATTTTGATACTTCCCGATGAGCTAGAGACTTGAAATTTGAAACATAGCTCACAAATGGATGACATTGCAATATTATATCATTTAATTTTCATATTTCCTTTCGGGCTACGCCCCATGGGCTTGTTTTTATTAGCTCGCTTTCCTACAAATTTTGATATCAATTTTAAACGATGTAACCGATAAACTAGAGACTTGAAATTTGAAACATAGCTCACAAATGCATGACAATGCGATATTATATAATTTAATTTTCATATTTCCCTTGGGCTACGCCCCATGGGCTTCCAAATTT